AAATTGAACGCTCTACAAAAGTCCCCATTGCAGCGAAATCGTAACTCACACTTGTGAGGTATTACGGGTCACTAAATCTGATTTTTTTATGAAATTGGCCATTATCTCGTAAACAACGAGAGCTACAGAAAAAATTCAAATGATGAATTTTTAGGAAATTCAATTTCCTACAAAAATGGTCCTGTGAGTGAAAGCAATACAATTGATAGTTTAAAAGATATTCACCATTTTGAAAAATAATTTGCTGAAAATCAATAAAATTGCAATTTTTACGTCTTTTAAATCACAAAAACAATTAAATAACTTATTTTTTTATTATAATTATCATTACTATAATTGTCGAAAACCGTAACATGACACTAATTATATTGATTGACATAAATAATTGAATTTTGCTCTATTTCTGGTAAAAATTGAACCAATAAATCGAACATAGAGATTTTCAAATTATTTCATTTTTATTGTTATACTACTGACAGTAATATCATTAATAACAGTTATAATAATTATTATTAAAATGAACAAAAATCTTATTTATTGTTCTCATAAAATACGTTATCAATTTTTCGATTAAAATATTTTACATTATTTTATTTAAGAAATTTATGATGAAGCATCAGGTGATACAAAGTTTTGTTTGTTACACGTTGGATATTTCTTACGGTGCTCTTGAACAATTTGGAGAATATATTGTCGTTGTTCTTCATCGTGGGTTAAAGAGTTGTTGTACTTTTCAATTAATGCCACTCCTCGTTCCGCAGTGTCATTTACTACTTGTAATTGCTTAAATGTCTCGAAACATTTTTTATAATTCTCGTTCGAATCCCACGACTCAGGATCGATGTCAATGAAGTCCCAAGATAACTCAAACTGCTTGAAAATAAATAATGACTCTTTACTGACAAAATTACTAATCTCTTTTTTTGAAAATGAAACATAATCTTTTTTATTTTTTATTGTGATACGTTTTCCGGAAAAATTGGAAGTCTTTGGTCTTTAGTGAATCGACCATTTTCAATTTTTGCTCACGTGAAACTGATGGGTCAAATAGCGCTAAGACAGCAAGGTGTTCGTGTAAGTACCAGAAATGAAGACATAATTTTTCAAGTGCAGCCGAAGCTATCCTAAGGTGAATTTTTTTGTAGGCTAACAAATTTTGAAATAACCGGAAATCGCCATAAGGAGCTTGAGTTACATCTGGAGCAGTGAACCATCTTTCAATATAAAACAAAATCAAAAAGACACAAATTTCTCGAAGTGCCTTAACATCGGTTTTAGATATTTCGAATTGTTTTCGAAACATATAAATTTTTAGGCAATACAATGCTTTAGATAGCCATCTTGCGTGATGATTTGCCCCTGGAGCTCGAAATTTGATACCTCCATTTGGATTACCACCCAAAAAAATGTAGCTGAGGTTCAAAAGCTCACGATAATCGTCTCGCGGTTGATGATTCTAGGACAAAAGAACTTTCATAAATATTAAGTTATTGCTAATAAATATATAATTTAAACTTTACTAAAGATATAAATTTTCATACATTTTCAAAATAATATGTCGACTATTACAGATTTTACCTTTAATTGACTTTCAATAAAACAAAGTTTTTCATTCTTTGTTTCATCTAGAATATTTTTTATGTCGGTGTCATCAATTCCAATATCATATTGAGAAGTGTCTATTTTATCCCAATTGTCTTGAAACCTTTTGAAAATCATCACATTTGGTCCACATGTGATTGGCCAAGCAACTTCCACCACATTTCTTAGAATTATTTCATAAATATGATGTCGACAAGCCAAATGCAATAAATCCTTTTGTAATTTTTGCATTAACAAAGTGCATACTCCATTTCTAATGCCTAAATTCGAATGAATACATGAAAATAATTACAAATTCAAGGATTAGACGAGGCAAATGCGAGAACGATAAAAGAAGCTATTTTAGATGAAAAAATTCAATAATAACATAATTAACGTAAAAAATGAAATAAAGTATACCAGTATTTACGGCCGGAGTATCGAAACACATTCCTTTTATGTTATCAGTAATATTCCACTCGTTTAAAACTTCAAAAACAACTTCAGCTTCACTAATTCCTGTTGCTTCATAAACCATTGGAGCTGCTAGTAGTTGATCAGTATTTACTCCAGTGACAGCAATTGGAAGTCGCTCTACTTTTTTTTTGCTGAAATCAGTAGGCAATGATTTTCCGTCCCAATGAACAATCAAACATCTAGGCAGTTGTAAATCATTTTTAATTTTTTCCACAATCTCTTTTCTGAATTTTTTACGAGCATTAAATATAGTTGAATAGCTCAGATTATAGTTATTAATGTCTAATCCGAGACTGAGAAGTACTGCAGATATGACATGCATTGCTTGTCTAGTGCTGATCTGATTACGGTCTAATGTTGAAACAAGCTCAGGTGTCATGATGGATGTCTTCCTAATTTTGACTTCAGGTAGTTCATCTTCAAAGTCTGAATGAGTGGCTACCAATGATATCTGACAATGAGAACTGAACTGATTTCTGACTTGAAACTGAAAAAATTATTTGTGATGTTAATAAGTAAAATGTTATAGAAAAAAGTTCAGAAATCCTTTTGTAACTTCATTTACGATCTAAAGAATTATTTAAAAGTACAAAATATTCATGAGTTGGCCCTAATATTTATTAAAAAATTTGTAACTTACTCATTTCGCCAGTATTATTATTTTCATCTATTATTTCTGCCACATCTGGCTGATTGTCAATAGCCAACGAGTGTTCAAATGACATACATTCATTTGGTACACACTTATTATGGCTACCTTTCTCTCGGCATTTTGTTAAATAAACTTTTAAATACTCTGGTAAATGTATAATTTCATCGCAGTTAGCTATGTCAAATAATTGATCCAACTGTTCTGTAAAACTTTGAATTTTTTCTTGTTGTGCTGGTGATTTATTTTTTTTCTTGTGATAAATTTTAACCTTTTTATATTGATCATAAAATTTCTCGAATTTCAGAATAATATGTTGAATGCGACTTGTCGGAATAGAGAAATTGTTCCAAATATCAATCACATCTTTTATTACTTCAGTAGAGCTTTGTCGGATCGTTAATTTTAAACATCGATGCTTGTACATAAATATATTGATTACATCACGATATATTGGCAGCTTTTGATTATTTAATTTACTAGTTTCAAATCCAATTAAATTATTGAACACTTTATTACTTATTTTTTGCGTCATGATTCTTGCATTTAAAAATATTCATGAAATTTGATAAATATTACATTAAACTTGATAACAAAAGAGATTCTTCAATGACAAAAGAAAACTAACCTAAAAAAGCCCAGCTTAACAATCGACGTTTTATATACGTTTGTTCGAAGTAATCAAAACAATCATAAAGAATAGCGTTGCATCGGAAGCGCCTCTATTGCCGATTTTTAGAAACTGGACTACAATCATACAACTGTACAATGAGTAATTAACACTAACACTTAGTAAACTGATGAAGACAAAAATTAAAAAAAGGTTTTGTTTTTTTGTAGCAATTTAAATTAAGATTGAGAAATTAAAATTACTTTGAATAAAAAAACTGAATGATTTACTCTAAAGCTTAACAAATTTGGAAATTTGAAGCGAAAATGTATTAAAATGATAAAATAATCTTCAACATAAAAAGCTTATTGATAAATAAATAATTATAATAATTACTAAATGAAAAAATTCTCATTAATGTCATGTTACGGTTTTCGACAATTATAGTAATGATAATTATAATAAAAAAATAAGTTATTTAATTGTTTTTGTGATTTAAAAGACGTAAAAATTTCAATTTTATTGATTTTCAGCAAATTATTTTTCAAAATGGTGAATATCTTTTAAACTATCAATTGTATTGCTTTCACTCACAGGACCATTTTTGTAGGAAATTGAATTTCCTAAAAATTCATCATTTGAATTTTTTCTGTAGCTCCCGTTGTTTACGAGATAATGGCCAATTTCATAAAAAAATCAGATTTAGTGACCCGTAATACCTCACAAGTGTGAGTTACGATTTCGCTGCAATGGGGACTTTTGTAGAGCATTCAATTTTGAAGAAAAGCTATCTATGGGTATGATGATACCATGAAATGCCGCAGAGATATAAAAAATTAAAAAAAAAAAAATCCAAGTTTACGTGTATTTTAGATGGGAAATCTTCCAAATCAAAAAAAAGTACTTAGAATTAAAATTAAGAGCTCTGCTTTGGACAGGGTCTTTCTTTCAGTGCACAGAACGATATTTTGCTGCGGGAGCGAAAAAAAAAAAATAGTAGTTCAAAACGAATCGCCCTAACCTGCACATATCGTCGCCTTAGAACCAGGTTATTCTAAGTCCATTTTTTAAAAAATTGCAGGAGACGGTTTTTAAAGTTTAGTACGTTATAACGTCTACAACTTTGTGATGTTCATTATAAATATTATTTTTTAACCCAGTTCAATTATTTGCTAAAAACAGGTAACCGACACATTTACTACAATTTTTGACATTTAAGAGAAAAATGTCATTAAAAAAAATATGTTGGGGACATAGAATGAATCAGACTTTACACAATAAATTAATTACTTAATCAAATTAGCCTATGTCCACAGAACATTTTTATAATAAAGAAAACAGTGGTAGAAAAATAATTTTTAATTCCAACTTTCAACCTAGTGAAAAAACAAAATGCAGAACTAACTTAAGATTACAAGATTATTCATATTTTAGTATTACTTCCAAAATTGCAAGTCTGTAGCGGAAAAATGATTTGACAAGCTCTTAATATGAGCAACTTTATCGACTGGCAGATCAGGAGGAGGTTGCTGAACTGGAGGAGCTGGAATATTATCCAAAAATGATTATTTTGTCTGGTACGTTTTTAAAAACAGTACTCTAATAGGAGTTTTTTCGCTAAAAGTTAATTTGTATTCAACGTAGCATAGATTATGTCCATAAGAAATTTCAACTAAAGTTTTGTATGGGACAGTCGATAAAGTGACGAATTGTAATATAGTTTTGAAATCTAAAAAAATTGTTTTTTGCATCTGGATAATTCGAAAGGGATTTCTTGATCTAACATTTTTAATGGCTTTGTAAATAGCTAGTGGACTGTGCAATTCTAGTTTGTTTAAATTGCGGTCAGGACACTGTGCATGGCGTCAACTTCTTGGACGCAGCTATGACCCGGGACTTGAAATTTTTGAACAATGGACTGTATTTCAGGATGCATTTTTAAGAAGTATAATAGAGCCGCAGACATGTGCGAGTTTTTATTCTGTGGTACACATGCATCTGACCACAAAATCAATTTGGTTACATCAGGCCTTCCCAATAAAAACTTATTTAGAAGAATATACAGCGCACTTGCAATATCGACACCTTTTCTTCCGCTCAAAAGTTCATGCCACAAAACGCAGAAACCAGTCTTTTTAACGACATCATTTCCAGTCAAATTATAAACTGCAAACTTCTTCTTATAATAGGCCTTTGAAATTTGTGTTTGTGGGCAAGTTAGAACACTTTTCATGTCAAAACAAATTAGAGCTGTAGACGGGTAATTTTTACAGACCGATATATCCCTTAGTTTCTCTTCACGAGCTTCTAGTTTAGCTTTTATATGAGCCCTATATTTTTCCTCTAAATTTTCATTTAATGTTCCTTCTTCCTTTTTTGAATGATATTCTGTACACACCTCGCATAAATCCTTTTTTGGGATAAAGAAGCCAAGATTAAATTCATAATTAAAAATGTTTGAGTAAAGCCACTTTTTTTCTGGTATTACATTTTTTCTCCACACCAGTTGACGTATAGGTCGTACATTTTTGATAAAGACAACGTCCTCTCTAAATATTCTTTGGAGGAGGAACTCCTACAATAATGGGAGGGTGTACGAGGAAACATATTAATATGATCTCTAATTAGTTGTCTGTTTTCCTCTTTAATCTTTTTTTCCGTACTGCAGCCTCTTTGGTACTGACTGGGAGTACTAGTTATCCCCTTTCTCTTGTGGGTATAAAAGTAAGATATTCTGATCTGACTAATATCTAAAACACCCAAGTAAAATCTTTTACAAACGCGTATTTTATTTTCATTTTTTTGGAGAAAATATTTGTAAGAATATGTCTTTGTTCTCTGACGCACATTTCTATTCCTTTGGCGTTCCACACAATATTTTTCGTTAGTTTTTTCATAAAAATGGCCTTTTGCATCGTCACTATTTTTCCAAAATTCACTATGAATTAAAGCTGTTTCTTCGATACTAAAATTGTCCAGACACTTAAAGCGACAGCCCAGTTTCTTACACAAGCCCTTGCCTTAACATTCTTGCCTCGACAACTTGTATATTCTTCTCCGCTTTGTCTCAATCTTTTTCTAATATTTTTCTTCCAAAGAGCCTCATTAGCTTTTCGTTTCCTAGTCTTCTTTACTGGTGTGCTAAAAAAAATACCCAGTAAGATTTGGATATTGGTACTACTTAGGTACTACAAATTAAATAAAAATAATAGTAAAATACCTTTGACCATATGAATAGTCTGGGATATTTGGATCATCTAAATTGTCTGGGCTATTTGGGCCATCTGATTTGACTGGGCTATTTAAATTTGCTGCCTTAGATGTTCCAGGAATGCTGCTTTTACTTTGAACGTCTAGTTGATGCAAATTTCTCAAATGTTTAACAGGAAAGAACACATCTGCATCAGATGAACTATCATCAATATAAAAACTAAAAATATTTGAAATTAAAATATATTCTAAATTGTAACTTATAAATATTTCAGAAACAATACTCACTTTTTTCTTTTATTACGTCTATTACATGCTGTAGGTAATTCGTATTCTGACCCTGAGTCTTCGAAAGGTTCAGAAAAAGATTCTTCTAAACTGCTCATTATAAATTACTCTTTTTTTTTTTAACAAAAAAGCAACATATAAACACGTAAACACGTTCACAAGACAGAAAATTATGCATTAACCTCAAAATGTTGTTTTCTAAAATATATGTGCAAAATTATTCTGTCCCCCACGTGATGCAAACAGTCAAATTTTATTGGCTATGAGGACATATAATAACTCGGTTCAAATATTAAAAAAATTGAAAGGACATAGGATATTAGCGACTCACCGTAATTACTGAACGACTCGGCATAGGTTTACTTGGAATAGATTGACCGATAGAGCTTCGGACATAGAATAGTCTGGCAAGAAAATCTGATTTAGGAAAAAAAGTGGACATAGAATAACCTGGTTCTAAGGCGACGATATATCACAGGCGTCCTTTTTTGGTGAAAATAAACTTAAATTGTTTTTCTTGAAAAGTTGCTTAAAGGTCGATTTGCTTACTGTTGAATGTATGATGAGTGGATGTAATTGTTGAGCTGGTGGACTGTATAACTGATGAGAAATAAAACTATTGCTTCGAAGGAGAACTGAACAGCACTTTTATTTACTTTGTATTAAAAACAATAATTGTGTGAGTAAGACCGACACAAGAGATGAATGAATTCTCAATGAATGACGTTGGAGACAATTGATAGTTCCATGGCACAAGGTTTAGTAGTACCAACTGTCCCAACCGAAATAAAACTAAAACACTATCGGTTGCATACCTAGTAGGCCTTAACATGCCGGCCCCCTTAAAAGTGTCTCACTTTTAACAAACAGAAAATACAAGTTATTGTTCACTGGCTATTGGCAGGAGACACACTTTAGTAAGGGCACGCTTGACAATGGCACCTGATGGCAATTTAACTGACACTACGCGAACGAGATTGTCCTTTCCTGGAAAGAGGTTGATGATTCGGCCCATACACCACTTAAGTGGAGGCAGATTATCTTCCTTAAGGATCACCAGGTCACCTTCCTTAATGGTATTTGGGTGGAGTTTTCCACTTGGTCCTGACTTGGAGCTGTGACAAATATTCTTTTGACCAACGGTTCCAAAAATGTTGGTGGATCTGTTGCAGTCTTCTGAATCTAGTAAGCCGATTTTGTCGAACTTCCAACAAGTCAGCTTCAGGAAGTGCAGACAGTGAGTCTCCGATGAGAAAATGGGAAGGAGTCAATGGGGACATGTCTAATGGGTCAATGGACAGGGGAGTTAATGGTCGGGAGTTCAAGCATGCTTCGATCTGAATCAAAAGTGTATTCATTTCTTCATAAGTCAAGTGGTCATTAGAAATGACTCTTTTCAGGTGATACTTAACTGCCTTAACAGCAGCTTCCCAAAGTCCGCCCATGTGCGGAGAACGACAAGGAATAAATTTCCAAGTAATATTATCCTTGGATAAAAGGTTTAGTAGTACCAACTGTCCCAACCGAAATAAAACTAAAACACTATCGGTTGCATACCTAGTAGGCCTTAACACTTACATAATTTATACCTTTCTGGCACCAGTCTGTCTTATAAAATTCGTACAAATTTGATTTCCAGTGTTGTTCTAAGTACAATTTCGTACTTGAAGCCCTACAATAGTGAGATTCCATTTTTGGTAGCTGGTCAAAACACTCTTGTAAGCTTCTCATTTCTCTTTCGCGATTAAATTTCGTTTAACGTCGAACAAATTTTTTGCGTAGTGGTAAAGCCAAAAGGGCCTTAGCGTATATCTCAGCTATCGTTAGTCCGATTTAAACGAGGAAAACGGCATTATGAAGATAACTCAGTATTAATTGACGCCGAAAAGAATTTTTGCGTAGAACGAAAAGCCAAAAGGGCCTTAGCGTATATCTCAGCTATCGTTGGTCCGATTTAAACGGGGAAAAGGGGGTTATGTAGAGAGCGTGATATAGATTAACGTCGAATAGAAAAAACATGCGCAGTGACAGGACAAAAGGACCTTAGCGTGTATCTCAGCTATCGTTGCTCCGATTTAAACGAGGAAAACGGCACTATGAAGATAACACCGAAAAGTTTGACGTTTGACGGCTGACGTTTGACGTTTTACGGCTGACGTTTGACGTTTCACGTTTGACGTTTCACGTTTGACGTTTCACGTTTCACGTTTCACGTTTGACGTTTCTGCTAGTATCGAGGGTACAATAACTACTGCTACTACTACAGCTGGGTTGGTCGAGCGTCAAGGTTAACAACCCAGATCTCCGAGAGGAGGCGTATCCTACACCCGACAATATTTTTTTAAAGTAAAATAAGTATAGTATTCAGTATTGAGATGTCTAGCGAAGAGAATAGACGCAAAGAGTTTGGTATAAAAGTTCAAAAACTAAGAAGAGACATAAAATTATATGAAGATAAAAAACAAGTTTTAAGAGATTTGACAAATTTAAGTCTTTGAGAGGATATTGAGAGATATCCTAATCAGTATCCACTTAGAAGAATCCAACCGACGCAAATATGGCCATCCTAAAGGCTAATTTCATTATACTTACGGCTACATTAAACAACGTACTGTATACCAATGTACCGTTGGGCGTACAACAGATGGCGATACGTTTTGATAATCAAACGGAATGGCGAAAGATGAATTTCTCGGTGGTAAATAATATGAAGCTAAATACGTTTTCCATAGCAATCGATGAAGCAAAGAGATACAAAATAAAATTGATTTTTAATGATGGCACTGAAGGAGAATTCAAAGATTGGCAGACTCCACTACCACCACCGATCGATTTGAGTGACATGTCAGAGCCTAAATATTCTAAATTATATGAAGTTAGTTGTATAACACTATCATCTACTTTGTTTATAATATTGAAAATTATTGTAAAAATTATAAATAAAAAATTTTATTCTTCTTGTAAAACGAAAATAAATGTTTGAAATTAATAAGATGTCTTTAATTTAAAAAAAAAACAATTTCATTAATACATTTATTATTAACTAAAAATTACAAAGGTATGCAATTAAGAAACCATTGGCGTAGACTTTCGACGTTCTTCTGGGTACATTTAAATGATCCATTGGCGTGGTACACAGGTTTTGGAGTCACTACTAAATTTTTCTGTTGCGCACGGGGTTCCATCGAACTTGCATACATCTACTAGTATAGGACGTGACATGTGACACTTTTTTAGTAAAAATTCGGCTTTTTCACTTCCTCGCACGTAAATACAATCAGCATGGTTTAGTAAATATGTTTCCAGAATCGAGTTTAACTTGGAATAATCCACGTCTCCAGAGGAATAGTTGACTCCATGAATATGTTTCTCAACATATCTAGCGCTAATTCTATCAGGCGCATTTAGGTTAGAATAAGGTGTAGGCGGTGTGAACAAAGCGTGGTATTGTTTACAGCCAATTGCGATACTCAACTCCTTTGGATGAAAAATACCGTTGATGCAGAAGCCTTGGATGTCAACGAATGCGATCCTCATGATGACAGAAACAAGACTGAACATATTATTATTAAATAATACTTTTAACTACTTCTGTAAGAGGATGATATTCCATCAAACGATCATGAATTATGATACAATATGCTTTGGTATTAGCGGGGAATCCTGTATCTGTTTCTGTTTCCAATTTTACGTCAACCGTAGAAGATTTCATGGTCTCTTCCTGCTTTGAACAATCAATCACAAATAATGCGTAGCGTTTGAACGCTTCATAGTTTAGAAGAGCAGTTTTCGGTGTACCGGTTATATAGTTTGCATTAAATTCTGTGTAGTTGTAGTGAGCAATACATAGTCGTCTTCTTTAAAATCTAAAAGCATTCGTTCTACGGCAGCACTAGTCTTTACGGCCCAAATTTCTCGTTTAGAATCTTCAGTTATTGATGGTAGTTCATTTAATTCCCAGTTTCTAAACGGAATCAATATAGGGCGATCATTTTTGATGGGTTCCATAAGTTTAATTTTAATTTCGTTATTAGGGAAGATATGTTTAATTTTTACTTCCATACTTTCAATTATCAATTTAACGGTTGTAGAGGTCATACCACTACCTCCGGTTATAGGCTGCTCCGTCACAATGACACAATCATTATCGTTACGTGATCGAACTAAACGAAATGTTTGTCTACCATAGGTAATCATAGTATAATCATTGAAAACGTTGAAAATGTGTTTAAGAGGCATAAGCAAATTGAAATGTTTTGAACCATTAAGAAGCGGTTTATCGGGATAATTCCACCCCGCAATACTCATGAAACGACTGTATTCCGGTCCATAGCATGTTAAGGCTCGTACGGTGCTTACGATTCCAGGATCTCTAACGACTTCTATTTCTCTAGAGCATTCGCTGTAGGAACAGCTATCGAAAAGAAACGCTCCAAATTTAGGTGCTAATTCACATTTTCCCCCGCCAGTAATTTCCAATTTTCCTTTAATTTCCAATAGTGTCAGGCATTGCGAAAAATGCATCAGATTGATTTATGATAAATTCAATGACGTCGCTGTTGTTGAACGATTTAACGTATGGACTATAGGATCGATATTCTTCTTTTCTAATGGCATCAAATCGTGGTTTTTTATAAAGGTTAAATTTTGGATCGATATCACCTTCATCGAATCGAAAACGTTTCATCGCCGGTTCATCATCACCATTATCATGCTGGCGTTTTCCCATTTCGTTTAGGTTTTAATCCAATCGATTTAAGAAATAATATGTTTTGTGTAGATATACGTTCAACGACTTGTCGCTGAGGAGCTCTGGTTGGTACTGACAACGTCACGTATGCAGAAGTGTTTATAACTAAACCCATTTAACGTTCTTGTAACTCCAAATGAAGAGTACTTAGTTCACCACGAAAGTTTACGGGTCTCTGCTGCTGATCAAGCGCAACAACAGTTATGTTTGTTATTTCTCTGCTACTGCTTACAGGTAAGTATATCGGATTATGTGGACGTTCTATAATCTGATATCCAGGAATTTCGATTATCGGGAACTCGTATATTGAATGCGTAGGTCTATCTCCGTAGAAGGCTCCTTCAGTAA